ATAGTCTGTAATTTATGACCTACCAACATTGCTTTCTTAATGTAAATATAAATTCTACTTGTTTACAGTTACTTTATTCACAATTGCCAAAACCTGGAAGCAACCAAGATGACCTTCAACAGGTGAATGGATAAACTGTGGCATATACAGATAATGAAATATTATTTAGCACCAAAAAGAAATGAACCACCAAGACATTAAGAAACCTTAAATGCACATTCCTAAATGAATAAATTTCTTGTTTATATTATAGAAATCTTCTGAATCTATAAAAAGAAGCCAACCTGAAAGGACTACATACTATATAATAACATTCTTGAAAAGGCAAATCTATGGCGAGTAAAAAGATCAATGCTTGCAGGGGGAAGGGGGGAGTGAGTGAACAGGAGCACCAAGGATTTTTAGGTGGTGAAACTATAGTATCATCCTGTGATACTGTGAATTATGAATAGTTGTTATTGTACACTTTTCAACATCCCTTTGAATGTACAAATCCAGTTAAACTATGGACTTCAGGTGATAATGATGTGTCAATGTAGGTTCACAGATTATAACAAAGGTACCACTGTGGTGCCATATACTGATAATAGGGGAGACTGGACATGTGTGGGGAGATTGAAAAGTATAGAGATATGTGGGAACTCTCTATACTTTCACTCACTTTTACTGTGAACCTAAAACTTCTCTAAAAACAAAAACAAACTCTATTTATAAAAAAGGTTTAGTAACTATATCTTAGTTTTCAATATCTGTTCTGAAATTGTCTTCTTAGGAAAAGAAGCAATATATACCCACATCTATAAAAAATTATTACAATTAAATTGAATATATAGTGTTTTTATCCTTCATTTTAAAGATAGTTGCAAAAGGGAAGTGGGCTAAGTATAGCTAGAACATTTCTAAAGCTTGTTCAGAGCTTCTAATTATATAAAGTCTTACATTTGGGAATGAGTCACTAGATACAGTTATGAGGCACATTTGTTAAATGTACTCAACAGTTTAAGAACAGAGTAGAAACTGACAATTAGAAAAGATACTAATAAACATTGAGTCAAAGCCCCTTGTCCTGTAAATAAGGAGACTGAGACAGAGAATTGCAACTTCACCCTGGTCCCAGGCTGTTTTATGGCAGGGAACAAGTTTAATGGCTGCTTCTCCATTACAAGAAGGCAAAGTTGTGATAAAGTTCTTAAAATTCTGAGATGCTACTTTTTTCTCCTTCCGTTTATTTCTTTAAAAGGACATGAATCCAATTAGTATATTTCTTTGGCTGATAAGCCTCACTCAGGCTCTGCCCATTTACTCATTTATTCTGCCCACTTGGTTTTTCCCAGAGGTTACTTACAAAGAAAATCATGTACTAAGAATGCAAACAGCCTGAAAGTGAATATAAAACACACATGTTTATTACTAAGTGAAGGCCGTGCTTCCTACCCCACCACTGTTAGTGAAAATTTAGTCTCTTTTTCAACCTTTTAGAGACACAAAATCCACCCTTGGTGGGAGCAGCTATGACTCTGTGAAAGAAGCTACAAATAACATGCTGGGAAATTCAGCAGGCACTGCTATTATATCCTGTTTATACTGTCATTTTTCCTATCAGTAGGATATTATTTATACAGACCCCACCCATGAACTTCTTGTTTATCTTATTATAGATATCCTCCGAATCTATAAAAAGAAGTCCCTGCAGTTGTTTCTGGAAAAAGCACGATATAATTTTGCACTTCACTCCACTTTTTAATTTAGCATTTTCTTTATTGTATATCACGTTTTCTCCTTTTAATCTCAGAGTTGTCTTATTTCATACATTAGAGTTGAACTTTACTGCTTTAAGAGATTCCATTACAGACAGAGATTCTAGACAACCACATCCTTAACATCATTTTTGGGTAGGTTCTAGCACGTAGGTTCTTCTAATATACATTTGACTAATTGGTTTAAAGACAGAAAAATGTCCCTATGTACTGACCAAGTACCCTAGTGAGCCAATTACAAGGCAAGTTCTCACTTACTCCATCTCTCTTCTTGAATGGAATTCCTGTCCCTGAGTTTAGCCTGATAACTGATGGACTGGATGAAAATGTAGCACAATAAATACATGAGGAATACAAGAATTCAGTAAGTAGACCATGGGACAATTAACCACCTAGTTATGAATCATCTTCATTTCCTGGCCTTATGTAAATAATTGAAGTAGGTAAAAGAAAACTGTGAGTTCCTGAAGGGCAGAATTCATGCAGTATTTGTTGAACAAATAATTATTTCTGGAGAGGGAACATCACTGGACAAAGTTATACTGGATACATTTTCACATGTACAACTATGTTAGCTTCATGAATGCCTGCTTTACCCTACAAGGCAGCACTATAGGCAGCTTGGTAAACATGGAATCTTCAGAGAGCATGAAGGTAGGCTCTTTGGGGATGTGTAAGAAATATCACTGCTTTTAAAGAACATTACTCTAAAATGTATAACTGAAATGAGGTTTAGTATCTCAGGGTGGTGAACTAAGTCTAATTAATTTCAGAATAAAGAGAGCTCCATGTGGGCCAGAGTAACCAAAGAAGACAGAATGAAGATAGCAACTAAGGTAAGCTTGATAAACAGCAATTGATAAGGCTGAGGTGAGAAGGTGGAAGGTATCCTACATTCCACCGATAATATGGGAGCATCTAGGTAAACAAAATTCTGGAAATGGCAAGTAGTTAATTCAGCTAGGGAGTTTAATGAATAGAAGATGGCAATAAAAAGAAGGCTGGAGTCAAATTATAAGAAGTTTCATTTTCAGTCAATAGAGAACCATGAAAAATATCTGATCAAGGAAAAATGAACCCAGGCTTTCAAATTATGAACAAAGAGGAGGAAGAATAAGTTGGAGTGAGGCGGAAATGGGGGAAGAATATTTTAACAGTACCAGATCCTATAATTACAGTAGCCAAAGAAAGGTCCAAGTGATATAACAGCTAATAAATATGTAAAACCATTATCACTTTTTGCTTTCATAAACCGGAGATGGCATCATGATGACTATTACTGAATGGGGCATTGCTAAACAATGCCAATCCATTGAAGTTAAAAATCAGAAAAGCTTACCAATCTCCTAAAATAGTACTTCTCCAACCCACGTCACCTGGGGATCTGGTTAAAATGTAAATTCTGATTTATGTTTCGGGTGATGCTCTCTAACTTTACATTTCTAACAAGTTCTCAATACTGCTGTTCCATGAGTAGCAAGATGCTAAAACATCTTTCAGTTTCCCTTTCCAAAAAGCCAATATTTGATATACTATGTTTAATTCATTATAGTTTATCCAATGCTTTTACATATGCCTAGGAAATTCCTGTTAAAGGTATTTTATTATAATTTGCATCCATGCTGTACTGGTTTCAAAAGCTACTATTTTGAAAGTCCAAGATAATTCAAGATTCAGTGTACTCAAGATAGTCATAAATATTTCTGCCTAAACAAAATCAACATTATCTAATGCTATTCTACAACACTATATTTTTGTTATTCTGGCAAACCAGAAAATTCTATTGCCTCTAATCTTGGGGCTGAAATAAAAGACCTGAAAGGCAGTAATCTATCTTTTCATAGTGCACAGCAGTGGACTTTGGTAAAACCCACTGAACTTGCCCCTACTGGGCTCTTATCACCATTTCTTCATCTTTGAAAACAAGGGTAACAATTCATTTTAAATATCCTACTAAAAAACACCTGAAGATTGCAAAACTTAAATTCACACATCATCCTGCTGTTTAAGATTTCTGTACAAAAAGATATGCCTTGAACTAAAGTGTTTTTTTCTGCCATAAACAGTATCATTTATAAAACTATATTACATAAAATGTTACACATGTACACACACACACACACACACACACACACACACACACCTGTATTAAGATTGGCTGATCTTAGGTTAGATTCTTGGGACAAAATTTAAGACTTCTGAAATCTCAAGTTTCATTTTTAACCAAATTAATGGTCAATAACATCTTTTTAGGTAAATTGCCTAGGATATATATATATATATATATATATATATATATATATATATATATATATATATATATATATCAATGACTAGAGAATATATATAATATCTTAAAATTAGAAGGTACCGTTGAAGATCAGATCCAATTATATCATTACAATGGGGAAGAAACTAGGACACAAAGGCTAAAGGTGCCAAAGTCATGTAGCTGCTCCTGCCATGTTAAGAAAAATGAAGGGGAGAAACAAACTACTTTTCACATCTATCAATGTACAACGCATAGCCATGTATTAATGATAGAATGTAGTTAAAAGAATTTCTGGTTACTCTAATAACTAAGGCATAGTTGGGTTTTATAAATCACTGATATCGAAGAAACACTATATTCCAACAGAGGAAAAGACATGCTGCCCAAATTTAATAACTATAAAAAATGCAATCTGAATAGAGAATGACATATATACACCACATACTTGGGATGGGGCTGCGGTGGGTGGGTAATGGGATGGGATATAAAAAACAAAGAGAAGACACTGGTAACTCTTATCTTCTCAGTAATGGGTAGAGAAAAGCTTTCACATACAGAAAAGTGATTTAAAAAACACAATAATTTCTTAATTGGTAAAATTGAGGATTAGATTTGGAGGACGGCAAAGCTTTAAAATATATGAAATGGAGGTAGCAGTTGGATGTGCATATGTCATGAGCTCTGTCACAGTTACAAGAAAACCAGAGAACCCATTTTTAGCCAATAAAGTAGCGAATTTTGTGCTTTTTAGAAATGCTTTTAAAATTTACTAGCACACATTAAAAAAAAAAAAATCACTGGAGAAGTTCCATGATATCGGAGACAATGGGTTTTAAATCACCGGCATACATTATTATGCCTAAATTGACAGATCTGCACTGCAATGCAGAAATGTGAGCAATAACCCAACATCTGCATCAGAAGGCAGAGACTAGATATGATTCCAGAATAAAGGGCTCTTCAGCTCTTACCTGTTACCTGTGCAACAACTGCTTGGGAAATCCTCCGATTGGCAAGAAAGGCTTTGATTTCCTCTTTTATCACACTGCTGTCCCTCCTAACAAAAACAGAAGACAAGACCAACAATGTATGTTGAAGGTAGAAATCCTCATCTTTGCTAAGAAAGGTGAAGCAGAGAGGTGGGGAGAACATAGAGAGAAAGGACACAAAAATAAAGGCAAACAGACCACGCCTGTATGAAACATGAAATTAAAAGAAACCAAGAAACACCAAATATTCAAGTCCTAAAACACCACACCATCAGACTGACGCTTTGGTGAATGCCACAGTAGATACGAGTTTCATACCAGAGGATGGCTAATCTTATGCTGTGAATAATTCACATTAGGAACAAGGCTGCCACATGGTATATATTAAGTTTCATTACTGTGGGGTGAATACATCTTACACAGACAGAAATCCTAGAAAAATAAAAAGCAACAAGGACAAAAATCAGTTGTGAGTAGATTGTGGGTTCCCGTGTTAACTTGCAACTGCACAAATAAGGTGCAGTTCATTTAAAAATCCTGGTTAAAGAATAGAAATCATCATCATTCTCACAAATATTAGCCACTTTAAGAAAGGCTTTGACTTTTAATTTGTTTTCTTTTCCTGTATAAAAAAAATTTAAGTGGGGTTACATAGAATTTTAATATAAAAAGGCACTTAATTTTCTATTACATGCATTATACAGAATACTTAATACTTAAACCTACATTATTTTCTGCATACTTGGGACCGCAAATTGTAGACCTGATTTTTCCTCCACTAAGATTCCTTAATGATTTTTATTTATTTAAAAATTCAACAAATTCTTAAAAGACTAGACATTCACTAGAATGACAATAAATGGCAAGATTTATAAATGAAAGCAAATTATCATCCCCTCCCCAATTCTATTTTTCTCATTAGTAGGTGTTGATTTTTAAATGTATTTAATTATTATTCTATATCGAGTTTTGTCAATAAAAATGTGTGCCTATTTGATTTCTCACTTGTGTGCAAATTATCTAAATAATATCCTCAATTTTGCCTCTGGTCCACTAAGTCTAAATGTTTACCTCCTAGCCCTTTCAGAAAGCTTCCTGACTCTTGATCTGAGACAAAGATCATGAAATCTTTACAAATCATTTTGTGAATGAACCACAAACTCTTCTTAAGAGTTCAAGTTCTTGGGGGTGGGAAGAGATCAATGGGGGTGGAGGGGGGAGGGAGAGAAGGAGACTAATGCAATACTTTAAACAATAAAGAATTTAATTTAAAAAAGGAGTTTAAGTCTTTCTACAGATTATTTGGAGAAACAAAAGTACCCTTCCCAAAAGGAATTAGCTGTGACTTAATTTACAGCAGATATTTTAGACCCTTGATGAGAAGGGGCTACACATTCTATTAGCGGATTCCATGCTCCCTTTTCAGGAATTCTAGGAAAGAATGAAGAGATGACAGTAGGGACAGCTCTTAATCTGGAACCCTACTGCACAATCCTAATCTACCAGTTGGAAATCCTAATAAAAAAGACTTCTAAAGGGAGAAAATAGTCAGCTGGCTAATTCAACATCCAAAATTTCTCATACTGATTTAGATAATATCTAGACTCCTTCCAAAATGCTTGCTATATATTTGAAACATTCCTTTGACAAATATGCATTCTCATTTTATTTTAAAATTGTGAATGTGACAGAAAAGGCACAAATAAGTCAAACAAAAACTGCTGAGTAAAATACAAGTAACAAAGACTAAACAAGCTGTCAAGTATCCATCAGTAAACAGCTGAGCAAGAAATAACTTCAGCAGTATCTATTTCAACTGGTTGATGTATGTAAAACAATCAAATCATTTGGTTTCTACAGAATCGATGTGAAAAAATGTAAATAAAACATTGTATTCCAAGGTGTAGTGTCCTTCTTGGAAATAAAACTTGAGTTTAAGAAAATATTTATTAGGGTAAATTTTTAAAATGTTGCTTTTATGGGGAAAATAGATTAAATAGTATTTTTTTGGCCACTGATTTAAACTGGAATTTAAATAAATTTATTTTAAATCTAATTAACCTAGAGTAGACACTAAATCATAGAGTGGAGATAATGCTTAATTATTCCAGTGGAGAATATCCACAGTCTTACAGTATATTATCCAGAACGGCAGCAAGACAGCAGCTATTCACTTACACTCTCATAAACTATACTTTTAGATACTCAGCAAGTTTGTGAGTACCCACAATGATTCTTAAAAATCTCTTTACTTAACTGCTATACCAGAGAGAATCTTTTTTGAATTGAAAAATAAAAGACTTGAAAGGTAAGGGTGCACTTGGGTAAGTCATTAATAAACCTTGGCCCTGGTTTCATCATCCGGTAAAACTAGAACACTAATACATCTGTCACAAGGCTTTAACTCTTTTTCTCCAAGCACTGAAATTAAAATTAAATGAAATTTAATACTCAATGTGCATATAACAAAAATTTTTTCAATGTAAACATTTTGAAACTATAAATGTATACATGAACAATGGCTATTATTTTATAAAACCTCAGAATTCCAGGAAAAGAAGAAAGAAATGATTTGCTATAACTATATAAGATAGAATTAAACATACCTAATACCTAAAATATTAGGTATTTTAAGACACTATGGAAAGATTTCTAAAAAGTCACTTTAGATGTAAGTAGTGATGTGATATTCAGTTAGTTTTACTTGGTTTTTTCAAAAGAGCACAGCATTTCACTTTCTCTGTGTTCATTTTTCTTAAGTATTTCAAAGACTTCCATTCTTTTGGGGGTGCCTCCGTTCTATAAAATTGCACCTATTCCCCTCCTTATTCTCTCCTCATTCAGCCTTTAACAACCTGCCTCTCCTACTGTACGGACTGTACCCTGTGAAACCAAGTTTCTTGGTGTAAAAACTTTTGTTACTCCAATTCTAATTCTCTCATTTTCTCCTATTCCTTACTTTCTCTCTTCATCTGAAGTTTGACATTCTCTTTAAAGAGAATGAATCCCTTTTCCTTCCTTATCTTGTAAAATCTCATACTCTTCATGATTTTTACTCTTCAGGTCTTATGGAAATAAAGTCAAATGTAGGCTGATCTTTCTATTACTTCCAAAAGAAGCTACCACTCAATTTGCATCTAACCACTTGAAGTCCATGTCATCTTCTCTTACTGCCTTTTCCAAACACAGCCATGCTGGATTCATCTATCTGAGTAATTTCTACATGTTAATTCATTTCCGGCCTCCATTGCCATTATTTTTATAACTTGCTAAACTTTCCATTGTGATCTAGAGACCTTAATATCTAAATGAACTAATCAGTAATGCCTCTTTTTAAAATAACCCTTTTAAAAGGCACAATTTGATTGTCATCTATTCAGAGAAGTTCTCCCTGATCATCAGAGCTAAAAAATATATTTTTTTCCAAAAGCATTTTATTATTCAATTACACTACCCATATGTTAATGTGTTACATGCTATTCTGTATTACAGTTGTTTCTAACCTGGCCTTATCACTCTTACAAGCCTAAAAAATCCTTTAGCACAATGACTGTCTTATTCATCATAGGGTTTGCAGATAATAGACCTTAATTTATTCATTGAATGAACAAATCTATAGTTGGAGATACAATGTGGTAAAATAGAAAACCTGATCTAGATCATTTATAAAAGTTTTATTTTCTTATTCTTAAATATGTTTCAACTTCCAAACCAGAATGGAAAAAGTTATTTATTCTTGCTCAAAATGACAATAATTTCTTTTCTAGGACAAAGAGTATTAAAGAATGCATATTTAAAAGTGGAATGCTTTTGAGATATTCCATAGCCTCTTGTTTAACACATTCTTTAGTCCCATGCCCTCTTGAAAGTAGTCTTTAAAAATTTTTTTTTATTGGATTTTTCTCAATTTTTAGGGGTGACATTTATTAATATCATAGGCAGTCTTTTATCTCAAAGATTTCCAGAGATGGAAGACAGGCTATTTCAAAGATGGAAAATATAATTGCATACAAATTCTTTCATGTTTAAATAAAACCTGCTCCTTTTAATTTCCTTTCATGGAGATAAACAAAACATAATGTTTTAAAGATAACTTTAAAAGAAAAGCTACATGGATAAACAACACGGTAACTGAATATTATTACTTATGGATCATAAGTACCCTATCTACACAAGTAAATACCCTATTGTTAGGGATAACCAACTCAGAATAAAGTCTCGGAATCTTGTATAAAATGATACATACATTATTAAAACACTAAACTCATTTCAATTGTTACTTTATAATACATATACAACAGAACAGATACTTTAATAGATGTGCAACATATTTGCAAATATATATATACACACCTCCATATAGGTATTAAAAAATATTAACATGTTAAATGGTTCATCATTCTAAAGTAAGAGCTTTAAAGTCCTTCCTAAAATGTTACATTCAACGATCTGTTGAGAATTCATATTCTAGTTTCCAATTCAGGTTTTTTATCCTGATCAATTAAAAAATGAAAAAAGTAACAGTTACTTTATTTTTTATTGTTTCTAAACAAGTTGATCAGGCTTTGTTAAATTTAATCAATTTCTACAAAAAAAATTTCTTTATGTGCCTTGAAATTACTAAAAGTTAAGTTGTGTGGACACATGGGTTATGAAATTTGAAAAATGCATCTTATAATTGAGTGCTAAAGAAGTTGGGAAATGTGAGTATGCAAGAGATGAATTACTCGTATATAAGGTGGGGCAAAAGTAGGTTTATAGTTATTTGTATGGAAAATAATAAAATGATTAATAAATAATAACATAAGAATAAACTGTATTTTGCATACTCACAATTGTAAACCTAATTTTGTCCAATGCTATATATGATATACTAGTATGTAGAAATGGAGGCAGGAAGGCATTCAGGTACCAAGTAACTATTCTCCCCACCTAGAGACCACCAAATTCAATGCACTAAAATATGACTGCAGTGTTGTGCAATCAACAAGGGCAGTGTAGCCCTAAATGAGCACGACCCTCAGAAAGATCCACTGCTCAAAAATTTCTCTATCATTCTACCAAATAAAAATTCATTTGTTTAGTAACAGGCAAATATCATGAGAGATGGGAAGGGGGACTTAGTCCATTAAGGCATTCACACTTTGTCTTAAATTACATTAACCATTGTTCCTATAATCTTATTGATATCTACAGATACAAAAAATTTATTTTCAGAGGTAATAGATAAAAGTGGAACATTAGCAATAAAGACTCTGAGTCAGAATTCAGACTCTGACACTTAAAATTTACCATTTTCTTGAACCAACTATTTAATTTTTGTGAATCTCGATTTCTCTGCTCCACCTCACAGCATAGTTATAATGATTAAGCTGAGAACAGACATGCAATAAACTTCTCCCTCCAACCTAATAATTGTTATTATCTGCAAACTTAAGAAAAATGATCAGTGGGCACAAAAGAATGTAGGTGTGAGGGAGGGCACAATGGCAGAGGACCACAGAGAGTCAGAATATCAATGAAATCCCTAGGTGATTAGAGGACACCAAAGTAGTAGTTGTAAGAAATTAAAGCAGAGATAATGAAGAAAATCAAGTGTCTTAACTATGCAACAAAATGGTAGCATGTAAATTAAATGCTGATAATAATATATAAACATGTATGTAATTAATGATGAAATTTGAATGTGTGTACTTGCAGGATTTAAGTACAAATCCTAGTCATTGCTAACGAGATTTTCTGTTTATTTTGAAGACATACTTGAATTACAGTAAAATGTCAACTTATAAGTTAATAATCAAGTTTTAGACCCTGGCCAATCTTCCAGAGCCTTCTGTTAAAAAGAAGGTTTTCCCAAACTTCTTGTTAGTCTAATACACGTATGAGAATTAACTTCCTTAACTCCAATCAAATTAACCAGTAACTATTTATATAGAATTCAAATCTTCCAAAAGCTGTACTGCCCAGTATACAACTCTTATTACATAGTCTACCCCACATGTAATCCTTTTAAGACAAAACACACCTTGCCTATTCTACCATTAACTTTATAAAAGGTTGCTGTATTTAAAAAGACAGGCTATCTCTTAAGGTTTAGCTTATAATCATCATCCACTTAACAGATTATGCTCTCACCATGTACCCAGGACAGTTCAGGTCCAAGAGACACAACAGTAGAAAACATATGGTTGCTGCCCTCAGTGTCCCAGGCCCAGTGTGAAACCATTTCTACCTGCCTCTGTTGAAAGTAAACTTCTTTTCTCAGTGTTTAAAACCCTAAGTGCTTTAACTTACCTTACAATAGATGACATTAAACATTTATATGTGGCACCTACTGCTAAAATTAAAACTTTAGCTTCTTAGGAGTGAAAACTTTTTCTTCCAAAGAACAGTACTTTTTATATAACAGGAGCTTAAAATTATTGTTTGATTGAGTTATTGGAGGGAAAACTCAAAACTGTATACTTTATCTATATCATGATAAAATCACCTTATCCCTTAAAAAAGTTCTTACAGTAAATTTAAGGAATAGAAAGTATCTGTTAGTATTGCTGAAAATTCAATGTTAGCAATTACAACCGTAAAGAGAAGGCTAATCTTTGTTTTGACAGAGAGAATGGAAAATGCTTATCAAGCAGCAAAGTGATAGGGCTGAAGTTGAAAAGAGAAACTTTGAATTAAAACTTAAAATTTGACTTTTTCTTTCATCTCCAAAGTGGGCAGGGGGAAATCACAGTTCCTATAGATAAGTAGCTGAAACACAATCTATTACTTAAAACCATTATATAAGAACAGACATTTTGGGGACTCTGAATAAGCAAAGGAACCAACCTCATTAATTCCTCCACTTTATCATCTACATCTAGGTCCTCTTCTGAGGCTTCAAAACTGTATGACCTCTGACCAATGCTGTTTACATGGTAGCGAGTCGGTGACATCTTTCCATTGGATGTGGACAATCTCTCGTTATTCTCCCTCCCATTTTGATTGGTAGTGCAAGGCTGTGGGGAGGTATCATAACTGTTGCTAGGCGATGGGGACATTCCCGAATGCTGGGTCTGTGTGGAAGCTGTAGCTGTAGAGGAAGATGCTGGAACATTGTTGGTACTATTCCCATATGAACTTCCTCCATAACTGGACCTTCTTCCAAACTTGTCACTATGCTCTTGATCAAGACGGTCCAAAGTTTCCAAGGCATGGAGGATTTCATGTTTAGTCATTCCAGTACGCCGAAGGCGCTGAAGCAGATCTATCTGTTCTATTGTAAATCTGGGTTCATCTGTATAGTGAGACATGGTTTCCAACAAACTGGAAAGAAAAAGAAAAAAAAAGAAAAGTAGTCCTTTTATTTACAATATCTAGTAAAAAATCATTATAGAGAAGCCCAGAAGATGCTGTGCTTCTTCACTGAAAATTTTTAAGACATTACTATTATAATGACCCAAAATTTCCATTATCGCAGTAATACCAAAACAACAGATTATGTAAATACACTATTAAATCCAGGCTATGTAATTACTCATAGGTGTTTTTCCATCTCAAGTGTATTATTCTACATTAGAGTATTAATAGAAAGTTGCAGAAAAATAGATGTATTATCTTGTTTTGCTAAATATCAACAAAACTGACCTAGGAACTCTATAAATTCATTTACTATAAACAAATTATTTGATATGCTAAACTCAAGCAAAGACTAATAACAAGCAAAACTACTTAAATAGAAAAAAGAGGTACCTAAAAAAACTTACTAAGCACCATTTTATCCACCATTTAGTAATTTCATATTTTATCTCTGTAATGCATTCTGTTGATGTCCTGAGAAATGAATTTTTCATAGTTATAGCCCCATGGTTGGCAAACTGCGGCTCATGAGCCACATGCAGCTCTTTGGCCCCTTGAGTGTGGCTCTTCCACAAAATACCACGGCTTGGGCGAGTCTTATTTTGAAGAAGTGGCATTAGAAGAAGTTTAAGTTTAAAAAATTTAACTCTCAAAAGAAATTTCAATTGTTGTATTGTTGATATTTGGCTCTGTTGACAATGAGTTTGCCCACCACTGTTATAGCCAAACTGAACTATTCATTCTTGGAAATTGCTCCTACATTATGTTTTCTGTAACTAACACAAGATACTGCAGCCCATCAGAAAATGTTTCAGAGTTAATAACAATATAATCATGGTCAACAATGGACCACATATATGATAATATCCCAGAAGATTATCACCTACTGACATTGGAGCATGGTAATAGCCTTTGTAATGTTGTGAAGCAATGCATTACTCCTGTGTTTGTGGTGATGTTGGTGCAAACAAACCTACTGCATTGCCAGTTGTATAAAAATGTAGCAATACAATTATGCACAATAGATAATGCCTGATTATGATGATAAACAACCATGTTACTGACTTGTGTATTTACTATACTATATTTTATTATTTTATCATTATTTTAGAGCATACTCTTTCTACTTATAAAAAAAAAAGTAAGTTTGCTATAAGCAGTGTGCAGTATTACCACAGCAGCAGCTTCATACATCTCATGTTTACAGTTTATTGAATGCATCATTTTCTCTTGTGTGGTTTCGTACAGTAACATGCTGTACAGGCTTGTAACCTAGGAGTAATAGGCTAACCCATACAGCCTAGGTGAGTAGTAGGCTAATATCATCTAGGTCTGTGTAAGTTCACTCTACAGTTCTATATAGTAAGAGAGGACTATGTTAATTATTCCTTATGCCCTGAGGAGTAACGACCAACTACATAAAGACCAGATCACAGATCTGCAGGAGGCTGGGGCAGTGAACTACAAGAGGGCAGTGAAGAGCTACAGAACAGGGCAGCAAGTTCTGATGGGGTTAGAGGGGGAGGGCTAAAGAAGGGTGGGGCAGCAGGCAGAGAGCTACAGGAGGGTGGCAGTAACCTTATGGCGCATGGATTCGGGCACAGGGCTACTGGTATTCACATAATAATAATGAAATCTCCTAACAATAAATTTTTCAGAATGTATCTCATAGTTGGCGCATGACTTTTACAAGTTCAAGGGAGTTGTTAAGTATTATTTTTTTAAAAGCGACTTTTCTATTTAAGGTGTTTTAAGTGGTAATTTCTTTTATTTTTATTTTTATAGTTCTAGTGCCAAATGGTATACACAGGCTCTCAACTAAGTGTTTGCTGATAGAAATAAATGTCAACACATTTTCTCATCCTTTCCAGGTAAACATAACTCAGGACCAGTTCCGCTAAGCCACTGGAGATGTTCTTCAACTCTCTACATTAAAAATTTATTAAACATTCACACCTAAGAAGGCAATGAGGAAGAATTTAATATAATGTAATCTCATTTAATCCTCACAACAACCTTCTGTGATAAGATACTTTATTTTATTGTATATCGAATGATTGATTATTGAGGAAACTAAGGCCCAGAGTAGTTTGGCACCTTGTAAAAACTCTGATTAAGAAGCAGAAGAGAAACCAAGATGGTGGCATAGGTAAACACCTAAAGTGCTGCCTCGCACAACAATATCAAAACAACAACTAAAAGACAAAACGGACACCATCCAGAACCACAGGAAAGCTGGCTAAGTGAAAATTCTACAAATAGAAGAAAAGAAGAAAGCACATTGAGACTCAAAGGAGCCGTACAGAGACTTGCACAAGGAGAGGACGGGTGGAGATGTGCATGGGCAGCTGTGTGCACGGGCAGCCAAGTGCACAGCTGGTGTCCTAAAGTGGGAGAGAGAAGGAAGCTCCCAACTGCACTTAACTCCAGTCCCGGGCGAGACGCTGGGAAACCAGACTCATTCAAGGGGAATCTGGACTATCAGGAAAAGAGAAAGCACACTGAGACTGCAGAGGCAGAGGTCCGAAAGCGCATGCGTGTGCAGAGAGGACTGACTGCTGAATGCACAGGCAGCTGAGTGTGAGGCTGGCTTCCTAAAGCAAGAGAAAGATGGAAGCTCTCGACTGGGCTGAACGCCAGTTCGGGGCAAGTTTCTGGGAACCCCGACTCATTAGTGGAGAAACTGGACTGTCTGGCAGCAGGCAAAACTTGAGGGCAGCTTTCTGTCAGAGGTGCTTGCAGCAATTACCAAGGGACACTGAGACGCAGGGATTTCATAGGGCAGGGCTGACAGGAAACCAAGGCTATCTGCTCTGCCCTGAAACTCCGCCCCATCCAAGTTGAGCACAGAGGCTTTTGCAATTTTGCAAGTCTTGTCTCATAAGAGTGTCTCTAGCACAGAAGTTCTCCCAGTGTAGACACAGCTGATCCTTATAGCAAATTGGTCAATTCCTCCCAGTGATACCATCAATAATCAAGACTTATTTACCACAAGGCTGAACACACAGTCCACAAAAGGGTGCACCAAGAGTATCCACCTCAGGTAACTTGGGAGGCTGAGCCACTGTGCCCTTGAGGATACCTACCACACAAGGCTACTCTACCAACTCAGGGAAGCAGTGAAAATGCAGACAAAGAAATAAATCACAAATGAAAGAAATAATGGAGAAAAACAAACTACTGGAGATAGAGTTTATAATAATGGTTAAAAGGTTTTTAAAGAATTTCCTAGAAAAGGCCAATAAATTTAGTGAGACCCTCGAGGATATGAAAAAAGATCAACTAGAAATTAAACATTCATTGTCTGAAATTAAAAAATATATATATTATACAGAAACCTAACAGCAGACTAGAAGACCACAAGAATCAAGTCAAAGATGTGAAATACAAAGAAGCAAAACACTCTCAGCTGGAAAAGAAAAAAGAAAAAAGAATCCAAAAATTTGAAGATAGTGTAAGGATCCTCTGGGACAGCTTCAAGCGTACCAACATCCGAATTATGGGGGTGCCATTAGAAGACAGAGCGCAAGATATTGAAAACCAATTTGAAGAAATAATGACCAAAAGAAATAGACTTACATGTCCAAGAAGTGCACAAAATCCCAAACAAAAGGATTCCAAAGAGGACAACACCACAACACATCATAATTAAAATGCCAAGAGCAAAAGACAAAGAGAGAATATTAAAAGCAGCAAGAGAAAAACAGTTAATTACCTACAAGGGAGCACCCATATGATTGTCGGCTGATTTCTCAACAGAAACTATGCAGGCCAGGTGGGAATGGCAAGAAATATTCAAAGTGATGAATAGCAAGAACTTACAACCAAGATTACTCTACCCAGCAAAGCTATCATTCAGAATTGAAGGTCCGATAAAGAGCTTCACAGATTTAAAAAAAAAAAAAAAAAAAAAAAAAAAGGTAAAGGAGTTCATTACCACCAAACCAGTATTATATGAAATACTGAAAGGTATTTTTTAAGAAGAGAAAGAAGAAGAAAATGGTAAAGATAAAAATTATGAACAACAAATACATGTCTATCAACAAGTGAATCTAAAAATCAAGTGAATAAAAAAATCTGAGGATATAATCCGGTGAATATAATAGAATCAGGGGCATAGGAAGGAGTGGACTGACAATTCTTTGGGTGTGGGAGGAGACTGGACAAAAAGAGTACACCTATGGATGAGGAGAGTGGGGGGAAGGTAAGGACAGAGGGTGGGGTGGGAACCAGAGGTAGAGGGAAGCTATGAGGGGGAAAAAGAGGAACAATAGTAATAATCTGAACAATAAAATTTTTTTAAAAAGCAGAAGATTTAGGCTGGTCCGATGGTAGTGGGTTATTAGAACTTAACTAAAGTTAGTGTCACTAAGTGTCCCCCCCCCCCCCCCCCCCCCCCCACTAAACTTGACTGGCTTAAAAAAAAAAAAAAAAAAAAAAAAAAGAAGATTTAAACCTAGTCTTACTGTCTCCAATATCATACGTCATTCTACTTTCCGATATAGGTACTTATGCAATCATATGGTTTGGGATATAGGCAACTGTACTCTTTTAAGTCTCCAATTAAAACCACTTAGATAAAACTGCTCTACTAACAGACTAAGGGTTCTAGTAAGTTTCTTATATTTAAAATCTTTGCTTTATCTAGAGTCTATATTTACTTAATGTGTATGGATTTTAGGTTTATTGTCCCCCAAAAAAGGATAGCTGGTTGTCCAATATGCTTTACTGAGTATATGTCTCTTTTCTTTTTAAAATATATTTTATTGATTTTTTTACAGAGAGGAAGGGAGAGGGATAAAGAGTTAAAAACATTGACGAGAGAGAAACATCAGGGGCTTTCTGCACACTCCCCACTGGGTATGTGCCCGTAACCAAGGTACATGCCCTTCACTAGAGTAGGACCTGGGACCCTTGAGTCAGCAGGCCGACACTCTAGTGAGCCAAACCGGGCTATGTCTCTTTTC